TGGCAGAGGAAAGTATTTTGAGGAATTTGCAGCCATGATGCAATCCCTTGTGATTGAAGGCACATACCCACAACTGGTCAGTTCAGAGGCCTCTTGGCTTTCCCACTGATTCTGAGCTCTCACATCAAAATGACCATGAGTAATGCTTTCTGTCATCACTAGCTGGCTAAGAGACTCCATCCCATCCTGGCAGACAAAGACCCGGCCTCAGTTATTCATGTTTTCGTTACCTCTTGGCTGGATTACAGTGATGTGATATACCTGGGCAGAAACTCTAAGTAGTACAAAACACTGCTCTTTTCCTTGGCAACACAGGCTACTGTGAGCACACCAACCCTGTCCTCCATTCTTTACCCTAGTTTCCCACAGAATATCTAATCAAATTTAAGGTTTGGGTCCTTATCTTCCAAGTGCTCTATGGCATGGGCCTAGGACACCCTAAAAGCCCTTCTACTGCTCCAGGATGAAGACCATGGTTAACAATTACACTCCTCTGCCACAATGAAATCCTCAATGATAAGTGTAAAGCTCATCTGTGCAGGAGACAAAACTCTCTCTGGGGATGGTCTGAGACTATGTAATGAACTCCCCCAGGAAGTAATGACCATCAAAAACCTTACCACTTTCTGCTCCAAGTGCATGTCACATTTCTTTGACCTTACCATCTCTAACATAAGCACATAGCAACAGGTATATTTAACAACAAAACAAAACAGATGGTCTACCAAAACAAGACACTTCTCTGCACATGTTTCTCCCTCTGGGGAGAGGAAGAGAGAACAAACAACAGATGACAGATATATAGTCATGTTGTTTAATGCACTGCTGGAAGGCACTCAGACATTACAGTGATGAGGGCAATAGAGTATAGACTAGAATGCCAGTAACAGAGTTTCTATTGACTTCGATCCTAATAGGGAAAGAAAAATTAAGAGCAGTGGGGAATGGAGACAGACTCATAAGAACGGCCATGCTGGTTCAGACCAATGGTCCATCTAGCCCAGTATCACGGCTTCTGACAGCAGCCAGTGCCACATGCTTCAGAGGGAATGAATAGCACAGGACAATTATTGAGTGATCCATCCCCTGTCAACCAGGGCCAGCTTCTGTCTCATGTCTTCATAGGTAGTTTCCTATTGTAGCTTGCCTCGTTCTAGGTCCTTGAGAGAGCTGTGTGAATAATGCATATTTTGGTTTGTGAGCAATTCCACAAAATTTAAAAAAATTGTTTTGGGTCAACCCCCAAATATTTTTTTTATTGGCAATTTTTGGCTAATTGAAAGAGTTGATTTTTTTTACTTTGAGTTGAATAAATTGTTTCTTTCTACCTGAAATTTTATCAAAAATGAAATATTTTGTTTGACCTGAAATATTTTATTTCACTTTCAACCATTTTTAAAGGTTTGATTATATTTTAAATAAAAATAAAGGAAAGTTTTAAACAAAATTGTTTCAAACTGAACAGTTGAAATGTTTCATTTAGAAAATGTTGAAACAAAGCATTTTGACTTTTTCAGAATTTTAATATCTTTTGGAATGGAACCATTTGGAGACATGGATGTGAATTCACAAAATGTTTTGGTGTTGCTGAATCTACTTCCCACCCCCCCGTAAAAAAGTTTAATCTGAAAATTTTCACCCAGCTCTAGTCTGATTCCGTGGCAGGCTATTCTCTGGCATTCTTTCAGCTATAGAACTCCTGGAACAAACTTGTAGTACATAGATAACTGAGTAATAATACAGTTTATGCTCATTAGCTTTTCTTAGTGCTTCTTTTAAGAACCTTCTGATCCAATTACCAATGTGAAGCTCCATAAGCCATTTACTTCTAACAGTCTAATGCAATTATATTCTTAGCAATTTAGCAGAACAAAAAACACATGGGGTGTTGGTGATTAAACCCTAATAACTGCATGTCAGTCATGCTGGGAACCAGATTGCACATGATCATGCATAACTGAAGGACAAGAAGGAAAGGGAGATTATGATTTTAGGTCCTGATCCTGAGAGATGCTGAACTCCTACAGGGCCATAGACTTAGTGAAAACTATAAAGTAGCAAACAAGTTTACATGTATGTCAGCCAAAGGTAGGTTTGCCTCTCAAGTTGGGTCAGAGCTGAGGAAGTTGGCAAGGCAGTGAAAGGAAACTCGCCTTGATGCTGCCTGTGCTGTACCTATTCTAGTGTAGATAAACAAGAGATTCCCGCCCGCATAACTGACAAGAGAGCACCTTTCACACACGCTAGTTATAAATGTTTTAAAATATTTTAAAGAAATGAATACTATCTTACTCTTTACTGCATAATACTGCCCTTTGTCCTTTACAAACTTAACTCATCTTCCTCTCGGGTGGGATCACTTCATTCACCACTCTAATGGTGCCTCCACCACTAGGGATGAGACGAGGCTAGTTCCACATTTTTGTCTCTCGGCCAAGACTACCAACCAGAGTGCAAATTAGTGCCAGCTGTAGTGGTGGTTTCTGGACTTAGTCCACCAAACTCATTAGGCCAGGAAGTGACTGTTATTGCATTCTGCTATGGGCAGAGTGTAATTAATTGAGCTGGAATTTGATCAGAATACCAGAGTTAGCAACCCAACTTCTAGGAAAAGTACCATGAGAGATAGGCCTTGTCTGCAGTACACAGTTTTATTAACAAAAGTCAGGTTTCGTCGACTAAAGAGTGGAGGTGTACATAGAACAATGCTCCTCCTGCTGATTTAACTGTCCTGCTGCGCCGATATAATAAAACCACCTCGATGAGCAGCATAGAGCTTTTTGCAACAAACGTAGAGCAATGCAGTGTCAGTGTAGACACTGCGCTTGCTTATGTCACCCTAAGTGGCCTCCAGGAGGTGTCCCACAATGTCCATCATGACTGCTCTGGCAAGCAGTTTCTACTCGGCTGCCGTGCAGCCAGGTACACAGGCATGCACACTTCCACTTTTAAAGCCCCAGAAATTTTTGAAATTTCACTTCCTGTTTGCTGGGCATGGACAGCTCATATTGAATCCCAGCTGACCATGCTGACTTTCTGCAGCAAACGCACTCCCACCTGGAGTACACTGGAGTTGCTGAATCTGTTGGGACTGTGGGGAAAGGAGGCTGTGCAGTCGCAGCTCTGATCTAGCCGTAGGAACTTTGACACCTAAGAGCCAGAGGTGGCATGTTTGTAGAAATTTTGGTGGTGCCCAAAACCTGTCCCCGCCCAAACTCCATCCCCCAAACTCCGCCCCCCACCTGCCCAAGGCTCTGGGAGGGAGTTTGGGTGAGGGAGGAGGTCTGGAGTGCAGGCCCTAGGCTGGGGCAGGGGATTGGGGTGCAGGCTCTGGGAGGGAGTTTGGGGATGGGAAGGGTGCAGGGGTGAGGGCTGTGGGGTGTGGCTGCAGATCAGGTGTTTGGAGTATGGGAGGGGCTCAGGGCGAGAGTAAAGGTGTAGGAGGTGAGGGCTCTGGCTGGGACTGGGGATAAGGTGTTTGGGGTGCTGGAGGGGCTCAGGACTAGGGTAGAGGGTTGAGGGTGTGGTGGTGAAATCTCTGACTGGGGGTGTGGGCTCTGGGGTGGGGCAGGGCTGGGGATGAGTTTGGGGTGCAGGCATGCTGCTCCGGGACAGGGGCCAGAGAGGAGGACTCCCCCAAGCCCTTTCCCTGCTGGCAGCAGCAAGCTCTGGGGGAGGAGCCCCCCTTTCCTTCCCCCCCCCAGCAGCACACTCACCCCCACCACTGTCACTGCATGTGCTCGTAGGGCCCCTCTCAGGTCCAGGAATCTCCCTCGCCTCCCCCATGGTGGGTGCCGGGGGGTGCTGCGTGAGCCTCCTCCCCTGCTGTTGCCCCTGACTGTAGCCTCACTGGGGGTGAGGGATGGGGCTGCCTCCTTGCCCAGCACAGGGCAGGAGCGGTGACTGCAGGCAGGGGGCCCCCTGTGCTGCTGGAGGGTCCTGCCGGAAAATGAAAGAGTCTGAGGGGGAAGGGCAGGCTCAGAGTCAGTCTGCCCTGGCAGTGGAGATGGGGGGGGGGTACTAGGACCCTGCGGCAGCAGTTGCTGCCGGGAGGCAACATGGAGCTGCACACGGAAGAGACAGGGACACTGCTCCAGGGGCCCGTGAAAGGCGAGCGGGGGCCGGGGGCAGCAAGTCGGGGCCAGGGGACAGTCGGGGAAGGTGTGTGTGGGGGGGTGCAGGTGGGGCCGGGTAGAGGGGACTCCCGGCCCCAAGTATTGCTGGAGCTGGGCCCCTGGCTCTGAATATTGCTGGTGCCCGAGCACCACGTGGGTATGGAACTCGCCACCTATGCTAAGAGCAGATTGCTCATGGCATGGATGAGAAGGGGCACGAAAGGGACACGCAGTTGTGCTGTGTTAAGATCAAGGAGCTGAGGCAGGTGTACCAGAAGGCAATTGAGGCCAAATATTGCTCTGGTGTGGCACCGATACAAGGATCTACACGCCATCCTTGCTGGTGACCCCACCTCCACTGCCAAGAACTCCGTGGATACTTCGCGAGGGGAGGATTGGAGGTAGTAGCCAGTGGAGTTAACCCTGAAGATGAAGTGGTGGACAAGGAGGTTGAGTTGGAGGAGGATATGGGACAGGGGACAGGCTACAGGCTCATTCGATGGCATGGTGAGCCAGGACCTCTTTTCACTCCAGAGGGGTCTAGCTAGTCCCAACAATCCAGCTTTGGCGTGCCTGAAGCAGGAGAGGGGAGCTCATTTTGCTTTGATAGTGCCTGATGATATGAGGTAGAGGTGTCCTTTATTTTGTTACATGGTGCACATGGGAGAAAGGATCGAAATTAACAGCACTAGGTACTGTTTGTATCTGCTTCACATTCCCCTGTGCAGCTAAACAATGAGAGCCTTGCAGAGAAGTTTCTTATTGGCCACTGAGATCTCCCGGGAATCCTCCATAGAGATCTCTAGGAAATTTTCCTGCAGATACTCTGCTGTCCTTTGCCAATGGTTCCTTGACAGAGCTGCTTTGTTTCTTCCCCCATTGTAGGAAACTTTGCCATGCCAATCGTCAATTACTTCTGCAAGAACCAAAGCAACACACAGGTGAGCAGCATATGGACCCAGTCTGAAGCTGCACGCATGCAGGAGATGCACCCTTGCATCTTCAGTTATCCTCAGTAATGTGATTTCAGCTTCAATCTCCCCCGATTCTGGAAAACGGTGCCAGTATTCAGAATATTGTCCCTAGGTGTATGTATTGATCCCCTTCTGAACCCACCCAGACCCTTTGTCCTATCTCGCACCACCCCCTCCTGCGACACATTCACTATGTTTAGTGCTCTGGCCATGTTGCGTGCTTGTCAAGGGAAAGTGAGAAGGAGATGTATGTAACTTTTATGATTCAAGACTGTGAATACACACACAGTACTGCCTTTGTGTATTATTTCTTTTGCTTCTTCAGATGTGCCCTTGAGGGCCAGCTCCTACACACCAGTGAAGCGCCTGACAGATAAGGAAGCAAATGAGGAGGAGTAAGGAGGACATGTTTCGCGAAGTGCTGCAATCATCAAATCAGGCTGATAGCGAGCACAGAACGCGGAGAGAGACAAATGAAAAATTAGAAATGAACAGCCAGGAGAGGAGCCAGTGCCAGAGCCAGAGCCAGAGCCAGAAGTGGATAATAAAGCTCATGGAGGATCAGACAGATGTTGAGGCCCCTGATTGCACTGTAAGCAGAACACATGCATGCTCAACTCCCAGTGCAGCCCATACGCAACTGCCTTCCTTGCCCTCCCCAAACTCCCCACACATGTTCCTCGCATGTTCCTGGCCCGTCGCAGTACCCCTTGCGCTCCACCCCAAGGACATTTTCCATAATGACAGCTGGACTTACACACACACCTGTGAGATCCTCACTTTAGAGGGTGCTACTCACTGTCATCCCTTGTAAGAAATGTAAATCTGTGTATTGCTGTTTAATAAAAATTTAGTCTTACAAAGACAGTGATTCTTTAGAATGTAAGAATGGCCAAACTTAGTCAGACCAAAGGTACATCTATCCCAGTATTCTGTCTTTTGACCTGGGGTCAATGCCAGGTGCCCCAGAGGGAATGAACAGAACAGGTAACCATCAAGTGATCCATCCATGTCCCCTATTCCCAGCTTCTTGCAAACAGAGGGTAGGGACACGATCCCTGCCCATCCTGGCTAATAGCCATTGATGGACCTATCCTCCATGAACTTATAACAGAATTCAAAAAAGAACTGATAGTCTTGGCCTTCACAACATCCTCTGGCAAAGAGTTCCACAGGTTGACTGTGCATCATGTGAAGAAATATTTTCTTTTGTTTGTTTTAAACCTGCTGCCTGTTAATTTCATTTGGTGACCCCTAGTTCTTGTGTTATGAGAAGGAATAAATAAAACTTCCTTATTTACTTTCTCCACACTAGTCATGATTTTATAGACCTCTATCATATCCTCCCCTTAGTCATCTCTTTTCCAACCTGAAAAGTCCCACTCTTATTAATCTTTCCTCAGACGGAAGCTGTTCCATACCCTTAATAGTTTTTGTTGCCCTTTTTGGAAACTTTTCCAATTCAATATGTCTTTTTTGAGATGGATTGACCAGAACTGCACACAGTATTCAAGATGTGGGCATACCATGGATTTATATAGGCAATATGATATTTTCTATCTTATTATCTATCCCTTTTTTAATGATTCCCAACATTGTGTTTGCTTTTTTGACTGCCGCTGCACATTGAGTGGATGTTTTCAGAGAACTAAGACTCCAAGACTAAGAAGAACTAAGACTCCAAGATCTCTTTCTTGAGGGGTAACAGCTAATTTAGATCCCATAATTTTATATGTATAGTTGAGTAGTTTTGTATCATCTGCAAACTTTGCTACCTCACTGTTTACCCCTTTTCCCAGATCATTTATGAATATGTTGAATAGTACTGTGACCTACACAGGGTGGTTGCAACAGAAATTCATACATAGTGGCAACTGGCACATTTGCAGACTACAATTAATGCTCAGGTAATAATCATTACAGGGGTCATTCAAGGTGGCAAACAATGCCTGGCTCAATTCATTACATAAAGACACATTACTGGGGCTCATTGGCAAAATGCTGCTTCAAAGCATCCCCCTGTTGAGTCCCTCTAATAGCCCTAGTGTCTGGCTGCTCAAAATCAGCTGCCAGGTGCTCCAGCTCAATGCTCCACCCCTGGGGAAACTTTTCCCCCCTGGCTTCACAAATGTTATGCAGAGCACAGCAGGCTACTATGACCATGGGAATATTGTCCTCATTGAGCTCTAACCCACCAAATAGGGAGCGCCAGCAAACCTTTAATCTACCAAACGCACATTCTGTGGTCATTCAGCACCTACTGAGTCTGTTGTTGAAGTGCTTCTTGCTGACGTCAAGGTTTCTGGTGTAAGGCTTCATGCGCCACGGGAGTAAGGGGTAGGCTGGGTCTCCCAGGATCACTATGAGCATTTCCACATCCCCTATTGGAATCTTCTGGTCTAGAAAGAAAGTCCCTGCATGCAGCTTTCTATACAGGCAAGTGTTTCTCAAGATGCGTGTGTCATGCACCTTCCCTGATCACCCCATGTTGATATCAGGGAAACAACCCCAGTAATCCACCGGCACCTACAATCCCATAGAGAAGTAGCTCTTACTGCTGATGTACTCTGTCACAATATGGTCTGGGGCCAAAATTGGGATGTGTGTGATGTCCATTGTCCTGCTGCAGTTAGGGTATCCCATTGCTACAAAGCCATCCAATATTTCATGCACATTGCCCAGAGTCATAGTCCTTCGTAGCAAGAAGCTATTAATGGCCCTGCATACTTGTATCACTATAACCCCCACGGTGGACTTCCCAACTCCAAACTGATTCACAACTGACCGGTAACAGTCTGGAGTTGCCAGCTTCCGCACAGCAACCACCACTCACTTTTCCATCATTAGGGCAGCTCTCATTTTGGTGTTTTGCACTGCAGGTTGGGGCTAGCTCCTCAGAGTTCAAGGAAGGTGGCTTTGTGTATACAAGAGTTCTGAAGCCATTGCTCTTCATCCAGGGCTGGCTCTAGCATTTTTGCCGCTCCAAGCACACAAAAAAAAGAAAAGAAAAAAAAAGCCGCAATCGCAATTGTGATCGCCGGCAAGTCCTTCGCTCCAAGAGGGAGTGATGGCCCCGCCGCTGAATTGCCGCTGAATGGCCGGACGTGCTCCCCCCTCTTCATTGGCCACCCCAGGCACCTGCTTGCTAGGCTGGTGCCTGGAGCCGGCCCTGTCTTCATCCCATACCTGCATCACAATCCAATCCCAGCACTTGGTGCTTATTTCCCGAGCCCAATAGCTATGTCCACATAGCAGTTGGCAGCTGCTTTGTGAATGCCAACATCAATCTTGAATTGTTTCTTTCCACAGATTCCTGTTCAGATTCGTAACTCATGAAATACTGCAGGATCAGCTGCGTTGTGTTCATAATGCTTATCACAAGACTGGGAGCAGTGCAGGATCCATGCTTTCAGGCAGAGATGGCAGGCACAAAGTTTACAAGGGCAGTTGAAAAATGGTGTGAAATGCCGTCGGAAGCCCTTGGAATTATGGGATGAAGAGAAGTGCATCATGGGGCAGTGATCCCACCCTCATGATAAACTGCAATCCATTCCCAGAACTCCTAGTGGGAGAATGTGGTGATTTTCATAGTGAGCTAGCTACCCACCGTGCACTGCTCTCTCTGTCGGAGCTAGAGCAAGGAGCATTGTGTGAACATGCACAAGTGATGTAATTACAGCCATTTATGATTGTCGACTTAAGTCAACTTAACTCTCTGGTGTAGACATGGCCTCAAAGACCAAATATCAAGACTTTGATTTTACATCTCTTTTGAATGATGGTGCCTCCAGAAGCACAGGGTCACTGAACTCGAGATGGGTTTGAAACAAAAGCTTGGATCCAAACTAGAGCTGTGTGAATTTTTTTTGGCTGAAACTCATCTCTCTTCCCCACCCCTATACATATTTGGGTCAACAAACATTTCACAAATTTGTTTAGAATTTACCAAATTGCTTCATCTGGATTTTTTTTTAAAAACAACAACCACCACCAAATGTTTTGTTTTGACATTTTCAACCTTAAATATTTTGACATTTTGAATTTTACTTCAATGTTCTTTAAATTTTTTTTTTTAAAAGTCAATAAAATTTTTGTTTCTCAGGAAACAAAACATTTTATTCAGCCCAAAAAGAACTTTTTTTTTTTTTAATTTTTCAGTTTGCAGAAAAAGTAGAAAAAATTGTTTTGGGTTGACGAAATGAATATTTTTTCCCATTTTTTCAGTTCATCCAGCTATTCTCACAGATCTATTTCAAACACATTTGGAATTTAGCAGGGATGGTGGGGGTGGATTTGCATTCTACACCTGATCCTTTAAATTAGGCTTGGAAGGATTAGATTTTTATTGGTAAATGTTGATTTCACCATGAATACACAAACTGATGAAAACTATTTCCACTGAGAATAATCAACATTTACAGATAGGCATAATAAGAAAAATGCTGCTTCAGAATGTAGAGTTTAAGGATATTGATTTGTATATTTTGACATGTGATATTGACAATTGGTGTTTTAACAGACATAAAGCTTATCTCAATGTCAATTGTCATTCAATAATCCATCTGATCTCCCTTTGTCTGACTCCTCACCCCACTGTGGAAGTTTAAATTGATAAAAAATTTAAAAAATGCTTAAGAATAAACATCTGTATTATCTGTGGAAATTAAAAAAATCAAACTTACCAAGCCTTCTTATAAAGGGCCAAAATAAAAATTCTGATCTGGACAGCCTCTAACATTGGGGGGGGGGGGTGTCAGATGGAGACCTGAACCCAGATTTTGCTCTCTCCACCTGTACTAGTTTATTGACTTAGTATCGATTCAAAGGGAATGCTACTTTTTGCAGCATCTAATCATTCCTGGGAGGTCTCCCACCTAAATACTGACCTGGCTTGACCCAATTTAGCTTATTATGAGATCTGAGCAGACCACAGCACAAGGTGGTATGGCTGCAGGCCTAAGTGGAATCCTTCAGTACTAACCCTTTCCCACTTAGCTATCAACCTCCCAGTGTTGATTCACTACAAATGGAAGCAAGCACCAAAAGTGCAATGTAGCATTGTTACCTGAACAGCAGTAAAAGGTATAATGTGCTGCAAACATAACCAGTAAATATCACTGAACTAAGCATTCACCATCTGTTCAATTAGCTTTACAATAAATAATTAGTATCACAGCATTTAAATCGAACACAGGCTGGGAATCTTTCATGCTCTTTAGAAGACAGCATTCAATTTAGTGTCTTACACTGTTTCCTGAGCCGTTTTCCCAGGAGCATTGGTGTGAAGTGTTAAAAAATAGGTCTTTTCCTCTGCTCCTCATCTATCATACGGGAATATTCTAAACAGGTAACTATGTAAGTAACAAACAGGTGTGCAAATCTATTTTGGGGGCATTACAGAACATTTGTAACACTAACAATGTTTCTGATGAAGCTGGTTGGAACTTCAGTAATATTTGCTACAATAGACAGTGGTTCTGATGAGAGGCTGCCTCATTCTCTCTTGCCACAGCTGTTCCATTCTGGATAAATAGTCATTTGGGTGAGAGTGAGAACAAGCATGAGAGTGACTCTATAGCCTGGTGGTTAGAGCACTCGCTCAGGATCCAATCCTTCTGTTCCAATGACTAATTATTTATCCAGGGTGCAACAGCTTCAACAGGAGATTGATGAAACTCCACATCAGAATATCCCATAGCACAATGGTTACAGCTCTCTCCTGAGAGGTGGTAGATCCCTGTTCCCTTCCTGAGGTGGAGGGGACTTGAACTGGAAGTCTCCCCCATCCCAGGTGAGTTATCCTAACCACTAGGCAATGAGTTATGAAGATGTCCTTCCCCTCGGCTGCTTTGTGTGAACACGCCTGAGTGGCTCAAACCAGTAGACGGCCTCGGGAACATGCCTGCCAGGTCAGGCCCTACATGCAACTTA